AGACTGGCCCTGTGCAGAGATTAATATCTAGATGTGGAATGTTTCTCTTTTGCTCCTGCTGTACATTTATATTTATAACAGTTTATGGAAAAAGAAATACTTCTGTCAAGGTACAACACGACTTCTGCAGTGACAAATTATATTCCCTTTTTTGTATCCTGTTCTGATACAAAACTAACCGAAAAAAAAAAAATCTTTACCAGGTCTCTCCAGAACTCAACAAAAGCGAGGGACACAGTTGCCAGTTCGTGTTAGTTCCTCCCCTCCACGCTCAGCACTTCACCACCCAGCAGCGAAGCCCAGTGGACCCTGTCCTGAGCTCCTTTCCCAGCAAATCCAAACCACGATGATACAAATACCAAAAGGCAAAACATCGTGTATGAGGCTAAGCCTGAACAGCACTTTCCACGAGCGTTCAAAGCCTCAAACACCAACGTGAAAAGGGACGCAGCTGAGGAGACCAAGCCTGCAGATGGAGGACACCAGCTGTGAACAGCAGCAGAAGCGACAGCCACGATCCTGTGGTGATTTTCAGAAGGCTGAACTGCACATTTACCCAAGAGAAACGGCACAAACACTTTTTCCAACCCCCGTGCCCGGACCAAGGGGCGCTGCCCCCGGGGCTGCGAGCGGCGACTCTGGGTCACCCAACCACAAAACGCGCCCCAGCCGGCGACACCCACGACCACAACTCCTCAGCTCCCCTTAACTGACATTTCAGCCCGTGAGTAACCACGTTCATTGGAACCCAGGTGAAATTACTCACCAACAGCCCGGCGACAGCACCAGAGCACGGGAGCCTCACGTTCAGGGCCTGACTTTGTAGGTCGCTTTTATTTCAGAGCTTTATGGAAGATTCCTTCGAAATCTTTGACCCTGATTATCCCAGTCTCAGCTTCAGTCAAAGACCAAGTCCTCCCCGCAAAGGGCCTTCTTTCCAACTGCTTTCCCTCTGCATTAACGAGCTCTTTTTTCCCACAACGAGCCACGACAGTCAGAGGGTTTTGTTTTTGTTTTTATTTTTATTCCTCTCCTCCCCTCCCATTCCAGCGCTGGAATCAAAATAACTTGAGATGGAAAACGTGTGACCTCCCAAGCCTTTATTTACAGTATCACAAACCACAAGGGAAGGATCTGTCCAAGTTTTCCAGCTGGAATGGGAACAAGCAGGGAAAAAACGTGCCCTCATTTTTGCAGCTGTGATATTTAACACATTGCAGGGGAGAGGACTGGGAAGGAGGCAGGAGAGCTAGAAGCCAGTAATGATGCCATGAAAATACTGGATGAGGAGTCTGAGCCACACAAGTAGGTTCATATGATTACATCCTTTCTCCCCAGAAACAAACTGAGCTTTGTGCATGCAAATGGAACTGCAAAACCCGTCTGACACACATTTAATGGGGTTACTTCTTGACTTCTACACTAAACCAGATTGTAAAATACAGGAAAACCTGGACTTCACCTGATTTTATATTAGTGCTGTAATGATCTCTCTTCACGCCACCATCCCCCCAAATTACTACAACAAAGACTTCATCAAAAAATAGAAGCCTCGAAGCAGTGGAATCTTCCTCAGATATTTAAACAGCACAGAAAAACAAACACAAACGAAGCAGGTTTAGATCTAGAGAAAGTTTCTTGCAGCAGGAAACTGTCAGTTAAGTCTGTGGTTACAACCACACCAGCGTCACAGCTCTTTCCTCCCAGTTAAATTTGTGTGTCCAAACAGTTCCTCATGTCTGGTGTTCCTACTGTAAAAGGAGGAAAACCACCAAAAGGCAAACTCAGCCACATTTCCACCAGAAATTTCAGTGTCAGGCTATACAGGAGACTACAAAGACCCCTTCTTTTGAAAAGGGGTCCTTCTCTATCTTTCCAAATATTTATGTCCTAGTCTGTCAGGTCTAACTCAGTTCACCTGGAACTATCTCCCACCTCTAAAAGATCCCATTTCCCCTCCTTTCCCTGTCAGCAGTTCCCTCTTATCCCAGCCTGGCACAGTAAGAAGTGCCACACTAACCCACTACCTTTACCCACTCAGACAGGGAATGTCACAACTGTGCTGCCAAACAGGGCTCCTCTCCCTGCCATCACCCAGCTCTCTGCAGTGTTATCACCTCCATCTAACTCCTTCCAGTGGGTTTTGTGATATAGTTGATGAAGGATCCAACACGAGGACAGATTTCTGTGCGTTCAGTTGGTTTCCAGGAACTCACCCTTAACAAGGGGTTCAATTCTCAGGTCATGGATCCCACAGTAACTCCCCTGCTAAGTACAGGATGCAGAAAAAAAGTAAGATTCAGCCCCAATTTGTGTCCATATAAAAGGACATGAGGCTCTGGAAGGACAAAAACTGGTGACATCACACAGCCAGGGGTGGAAAATCACAGCCCAGCAGGGCACAGGCAGAGACAGGTGCTGCAGGCAAGGCAGGGGGGCCTGGAAGGGCATTAGAAGGACCCAACTGCAAAGCAAACCTGGGCTGCCTTTTGTCAGGACACCACACACTCCTTGTGTGTTTGTACAAACTGCTTGGAGGGGACATCACTTCCCCAATTGCACCTGCCTCACATCTTCTCAAGCTAAGGCATCCTGTGATTCCACCTCATTTATTTTTTCCCCTCTCATCCTGCCCAACATCAGCCTCTGCTTCTTACAGAGAGAAATTCCTCATCCCATCCAGGATTCTGCAGCTGCAGGACCAGTGGAAACACAAAAAGGCAGCACAGTGCCCCTGGACAGCTGGAAGGGAGGATGCAGAGCTGGAGAGCTCCTCACTCTGCACCAGCATCCTCCATCTCCCCATCCCACCGCTCTCCCACCAGCTCCTTGCCCAGGTCCCACAACTTCCAGAATCACCAGCACTTAGGGCTTGCACAGGCACACACATCCCAGGGATTGAGGGCACTTCCCTCGAGACTCTGCAGTTATTCCATGCAAAACACTCCCAGGTATAACTTGCAGAGAAGCCTCCTCCCAACATTTTGGATGTGCGTGTTTGGATTCAAAGCCTCCAGGTTTGGAAAAACAAAGGGCTGCTGGCAGGACAGAGGGGAAAATTACCCAGTGCCTACAGCATTTTCCTGGACTCTGCTATTCAGCTTCTTGTCTTCAAAAAAAAACTGCACTCCCTGACAAGGCTTAAAACCCATTTTTCTCCCTACATTCCCTACCTGCCAATCCACAGCCGTTCCTGGCTCTCTGCTGACGCAAACAGCCTGGATTCATTTCGCTGTGAACACCATTCCAAAGGCAGTTTCCCCTCACCTGCCTGGGAAATTAATGACCACTTGGGCACCTCATCAGCCCTGTTAAAATCCTCCAGGCATGTGAAACGAGCGGAGCCTCAACCTCGGGGCAAAGCAAACCCCAAGCACTGCTAAGGATTGCATTTCTTCTTTGCTAATTCCCAGAAAAACACTCCCCTCTACAACAGCCCGAGGGGGATTTCGTGACCTAACGAGAGGAGGGAAAGCTCTTGGGATACAGATGTTCCTCCTCAGAGCAGGAGCACAAATTCACATGGCAATTAATGCCTGGAAGAGCATAAACTCCTCTGTTAAAGCTGCTGACGGCAGCTTGTGCTCCCAGAGAAACCCATCCACAGCTCCTTCAGCGAGGGCAGGAGGAGCTGCCGGGATCTCTCCCAAGGAAATCAGGTATTCCTGAGGGATGAGGCAAAGCACTGGGAACAGCCTGGCTCTGCTAATCCCCAAGAGAGGCTCCAGGAGGGGAATCGACACGGGGAATGGCAATGAATTCACCGGGAGCCAACTCCCCGACAGCAGATAATTAAGGTATTCAAATCACCCTCAGTTTTCACCAAAGGTATTTCATGTTAACACAGGGCTCGTCTCACTGTGGTCTCAGTGGAACTGCTGAGATCCTGAGGGATAAACCCACAGAAACTGAAATCACTTTTCAGTCTGGGAAGTGAACAGTCTCATTTATTCTTGCTCTTCTTCCCAGCAATTCGCTGCTCTTGAAGTGAATTTTGGGGTTTTAGCAACCAGCAGCAAAAATACAAAGTTGCTATACCACAGTATCACCCCAAAGAGACATTTGGGGGAGTTGAAAACACCCTTTCTGAAAAGGGAAAAGCAAAAAAAGCTTAGTGCTGAGGAATGTACTGGAGGAAAATAAGAAGATGCAAAACTATGCAGTCAGTCTAAAGAATGACACTCCATCTATCGAGAACCTCCTCTTCAGCCACTAATTTTGTAGGGAGAACTTCACACCGTGATCTACATTCCCAGAACTCACACAAAAGAGGTTTGGTGGGAGCCAGACACACACACAGTGAACCCCCCCAAAAAAGATTCATTAAAAACCACAACCTCTTCACATTTACTTGTTAAAAACCACCACAGGGTTGCTGCTTCCCCTCCTACACTCTTTATTGGGAAGTGCTGCATTTCAATCCTCTTGGCAAGGCAAAACAAATTTAAAGTTCAGAGGGAAAAAAAAAAAAAAAAAAGGTAGGAACAACAATTTGATGGCAGTACCAGAGGCTGCACAACTGTTTATTTCAACACTAATAAAATCAGCACGGAGGGGAGGGAAACTCAGACAAGATTTAAACATCCATTAAAAATTATGTTAATTGCACATCCTGTGCAGCCATTCTCCCCTTTAATGAATTTATTTCAAAGATTTTAAAGGGACAAATCTGCTGACCAAGAAAAAGGCAGGGAGCTTTCTTTAAGAAGAGGTTCATTACCAGTGCACACGTCTGTGCAATTTAAGCCAACCATGTCCTGTGAGTGCCAAGCCCTTCCCAAAGAGCTCGTGCAGCCATTCTTCCAGACTCCATTTTAGCACGTTTTTCCCCCAGCATCTGTTCAAGTGGAACCCAAGCTCAGGTTAATCCCCTCTCACCAGCAGCGAGGTAGTAACCCTCAGATTAATTACCATTCTCTCCTAGTAACATCTAAATGGGTTTTTTTTTTCCTAATCCAGAAGCAAAAGAACAGCCACCCAGCTGAAACGTCAGCACCTACCTTCTGCAAAATATCTCTCTAGATGCTTCTGAATGCAGGAGGGAGTCAAGACAGCATTGCTGGAAAAGGATGTCACTGTTGGTCCACATGTGTCAACATCCTAGAGGAAGACAAAACACAGTTGCTTAACTGCCATGCCCATGGGAAATGGAGAGCAGGAATAAAGCTGCATTCTTTCCCCAGTCACTCCATGCTCACAGCTCCTATGCAAACAACACAAAGCTACAACATTTTCTAATTGCACATCAGAGTTTCTGTGCAGACATCCCTCCGGTATGTCAGAAATTCAATACGTGATAGTAGGCGGCAATGAGCACCTCAGGGATTTAAAGTGCCTTCCAAGCCATGAGTCATCGTCATCTCTAACTCATGGAAATTAAGAAGGAAAAAAGAGAGAGAGAGAGAGGGAGAGGAGAAAACACACAGGCGCATTGCACTGACCACCCTCACGTGCTCCCTCTGTGAAACACTTCCCTGTAAAGCATCTCCCTTCTAATTTGGGTGCTGAACGACTTCCACGGAGACAAATCATCATCCTGGCACAGCACAGCGTTCCTCCCAACAGCCCCCCAGGGGCTGGGCAGGATCCCACGTTCAGGGGTGGAAGCAGAGCTGGAGCTGCCTTGGTAACCCCCACGAATCCTTCCACCCCTGGAAGGAGGAGGAGAAGGAGAAGGAGAAGGAGAAGGCAGCTCCCCGGGATGCTGCAGGGATGGAGCAGCCGGGCCCAAACCAACAGCACCCAGGAGGGCAGATCCAGCTCCCTTCCCACACAACCCCAGGCAGCCCATTCCCACTCCCATTCCAGCCACCTGCTCTCCCCCAAGGCTGATTTTTGCCAGAAGGAACCTGTAACCACTCCCTGCCGAGCAGGTTACGTGGTTTGCTTCCTTATTCCAAGCAGCCCCTCGTCTTTCTAAGAGATTCCTTCAGGCAGAGTCTCATCTTTACCTCCAAACCCTGGTTTTCATTATGCTTTCAAAGCAGCTGGGTTGCACTTCAGGGCACGCACATGTGCTGCCCACTACCAGCCATCATCTCCCCCAAGGAGATTCAAGTTTCTTTAGGTCTTCCTGGCTTATCCTGGTTCCTCTGCCCTGCTGTTCTCCACTCATCAACCAGAGCAGAGCCAGGGCTCTCCACAGCCCATGGTCTGCCAGGGGGATGGAGCAGGGAAGGTTGTCCTTCCCTGTGTTTTGCATCAGAACATGCAAATCTGGGTCCACAACCCCCCAAATAAAAGCTCATCTCCTTGATTAGAACCTGGCTCCAAGCCTTAAAACCAGCACCCAAAAACGAAGGGTTACACACAAAAATAACTAAAACACCAACATACTCTGCTCCCTGCACCAAAGAACCTGAAATGCTTGGAAAAGCCACTGCTGCCTTCAGCTGCAAAGGCTGCTTCAGTTAACAGGCAGATTGATGTCTCACTAAGAGTTTAAAAAAAAAAAAACACTAACTGCTCTCTCCTCTTGTACCTTCTTGCACAGCAATTTAAAAAATGTAACAGTGCTTGCACAGGTCAGATTGGTCCTGGAGGAAGAGCAAACGTGAGGAACACGGAAGGCCCATTAATCTCCGAAATCTCAGCGAGAGCAGCAGCCAGACAGCTTAAAAATATATTTAGTCCACAAATGCTTATTAACGTCATTTGCTGATTCACAGCTGAGCCAGGCACACGGAGCCCAAATGCCACTTCTGCTTTCCCAGGCTGGGTTTAAAATAATATTAATGAAAAAAAAATAGTATAAAGTGCCAGGCATCAAGTTGCTTCACCTATCTCAAACCCTTCTGTGGTGCCACTAATAAATGTGGATTTATCTGCGGTGGAAACTTCAGGTCCAGTCTGTGGTGCTGTGGTTTAGGATCTGATCTGAGTTTATCTGAGACTGAATCTGAGTTTTCTTCTCTTTTACAGACTATTGATCTCGTTGCCAACGTTAACACAGTCAAGACCAGCTCGTAAATAAAATTGATCCTTCGGGCTCACAACAAAATTAACGCTGAAAATCGTCACCACTTTTAAAATTACATTTTTACAACTGAAGGGAAATATTTGACAAGTTGACAGACACAAACCTGTGTCAAGAATTTCTCTGTGCGCTTTGGGGCAGAATTAACCCACCGAATTCTTAAGGAATCCTTTAAGAAAAAAATTCTTCTCGTGAAAGCAAATTTAAAATGTTTCTTCCCCTACTGTTACACACAGTGCAACGATTCAAAGCCCAAAGGATTTTCTCTCTAAAGCAACTATTCAAATGTGCACGATGGAAATGTATTTAAATACAGCATTTTAATCTTGCTTTGCCTTTGAATTTTTAAACACTTCTTCAGAAAAGCGAGTATCTCATTAGTCCTTTCAGCCATTCTACCATTCTGATTTGCAAGTAAACAAGAATCCTCACATTACCTTTCTTTTCCGTGAGGATTTATTATGGATACATGGTTTTTAACTCAATACACATCTAGTCTGTCTGAGTCTTACCACGTTTTACATGTGATACAACAATTCCCTCCTCAGGCACGCTGGGATTTGTCCACATCCTTCCTTTCTACATTTTCCACGAGCCAGACACTTTTCTCTAGACCTGGATACGCCAGGCAACACCCTCCCCAAAGAACCATCCACCACAACCTACATTTTAGTAAATAAATCGTAAAAATCCCACTCAGCCCAGGCTCTGCTCTGTCTCCCTGGTCCCATGGAGAAGAGTTCTCCAAATTAGCAGGGTCTGGATCCAGGAGTTCAGAGTTTCAATCTTGAGGTACCTGCAAACCTTGAAGGGCCTCCTCAATCTAAGAAAATCAATCTTCCCATCTGCTTTATTCTTTCTTATTTTAGGACTAGTTGCTTTGTTGTTTTTTTTCCCCTGGGTTGTAGACTGGGGAAGGATGACAGAAGTTCTCATTTTCAGTGACCTTAAAGCCTGTAACAACTGCACCAAACAGAAAGCCAGCTCTCTGTGCCCCTGCTAATGGCACCAAAATCGAAAGTGATTAAAAGCAAAACCATCTGAGCACAACAGAAACTGAAAGTATTGCCTCTGGGAAAGCAGAAACACCGTCAGCAAACACCAGAACTAATAGATAATTAATGTAGCCTAGGAAATTATGACATATTTCTAAAACTTGTTTTCTGGAATAATCATAAACAATTCACCTTGACTGTATTCCCAAGTCATCACTTTTTAAAGTCACTGCAGTTTGCAGAGGCCTTGCTGCTGCTCTTCTTCATTTGCTTATTTTTAGGTGTGAGAACAGATTACCGAGGCAAAATTGAAACTTAAAATTGGTCAGGTTTTAAGCCTCTTGTAGATTTACGGTCATTAACTCTGGCTGCATTTCAGAAGCATTTTGTGCTGTGTGGAACTCAGATCCAGAGTTAAAACTGCTTCTGCTTCAAAATTCAAGTGCTCAAGGGTGGGAGGCTCCAGCGCTGTTAAACAAGGGGCACGTTTGTCCAAAGCACCAGGAAAAAGCCACCCAACAAAACCAGAGAGAGGTGAGTCAATGCAAGGGCTCCCAAAAGGCAACAAAGACAGTTTTCTGATGGGGGATTTGCAAAGGGGAACGTTTCAAACTCCCTCCCTTCCTCGAAAGGCTTCCAGGGAAGCATCTCCCCAAGGAAGTCTCTGGGCATCAGAGGGACTCGGAGCCAAATCAAAGCCCAGTTTGTTCTGGAGCAGCAGCACAACAGCCCATCCCACAGGTGCAGGAAAGCAGACCCCAGCTACTGACAGGCACATCCACAGGGAAACACGTTCTGCAAGGAGGCAGAGGTGCCACACGGCTCGTTTTTATCCCAAATGCTGCACGCACCACATTGCACTAACAAAGCTGACATTTACCTTGCCATGTTGGATGATTAATTAATTAGAAGATGCCTTCTGCTGGCTTCTGAAGGCTTCTCTGCCGAACTGATGGTGCTGCACTTCACCTTCCAACCCTTCCCCAAGGGAGGCACCACCTAAAACCCCTTTATGTTGGTGGGACGGGCAGAGCTCCCACAGACACACCGGGTGACCACCACAGGTGGTCTCACACCCAAAACCAGCGTCCTGCCAAGCACTGGCAATAAAAGCAAGACTCACAGGGTGTTTCTGCACAGCCAGAGCCCCTGAGAGCACCATCTTACAGGGAGAAATGAAGCAGCAAAACTCTCCCTCCCCAACACCGCAGCTGGTTCAGCTCAGCTCAATCTGCATTCATAAACACTAAGCCCTACCGAGTGTCAGCTGTGGTCAAACCCCACATGGGCCACGGCTTGGAAGCATCAGTTTGAGACCACAGAGAGTCTCCAGAGCCCTTTCTCCTCAGAGGAGGTGGTTTCTGCTCTCCTCTAAGTCACCCTAAAAAAAATAAGGGGATATAAGCGAGCGACTGAAAATCAACAAACCAGAGGGAAAAAAAAAATCCCAAATCTTGAAGAACTCTGACTGTAGGGACAGGCTGCAGGACGTGCCAGGAAATCAATCGACACGCAGGATAAACGCAGCAGTTAACTGGAAAACATGAACAGCTTGGAAAGGCACCCAGGCCATTTTTCCCCTCTCTGATGTTTGTAGCATCTGGACCCTCCAAAATGCCCTGGAGTTTTGTTCCCAAAGGGAGCACGAGGTCCTGGCCTCACTGCAAGCAGCCAGACCCAAGGGGAAGGGAGAGAAAACAAACAGCAAAATGTTTCCAGAAGCTGGACCTTGCTGTAGCTGTAATGACCTTTTCATTCCTAAAGCCTTCTCCCTCCTTCCTTAGAAGTCATTATTCCTTCCTTAAAAGTCATTATTCCTTGCTTAAAAGTCATTATTCCCTCATATTAAATGGGAGAATTGGAGTGGAAAGTATTACAACACGTTGCTGTGATCAGACTGCAAGAAAAAAAATATCAAAAAATACCCCTGCACTCAAGACTTTTAGGAACATCACATCAGCCTGTGTAAAATAGAAAGGGTCACATTTAATAGTAAATATCCTTCCCAAACAAAGGGAATGGTGGGATCCCAGGAGCCACCACCAGCAGCACCTGCTTCCCCTTGCCATGGAACTGCTTTGAGGTGGGCAGAGCTTAAAAAGCAGCTTTTAAAAGCATCTGTTTAGAGC